GCCCGCGCCCAGCAGCGCCTAGCACCGAGGCCGGTCGCACCCAGCTCGTGCCCAGCGCCATGCCAGGGCCCCAGCAGGCCCGGCACGGGACCGATGCCGGTCAGTCCGAGTGAGCGCCCGACCGCCCGGCCGCAGCGAGCCGGCGGTCCAGCCAGTCAGCGAACCGGCCGGTTCGACCGACGGTTCGAGTCAGTTTTGGTTCGATTATTTCGGTCCGAGTTTTATTCCGAAATCTAAGTATTTTTCGAGCCAAACCAGATCAGTTAAGCATATCAGTCTAAGTTTCGGACTTAGTATTATTTTTGTGAACCCTAGAACGTTCCTAAATAACCGGATAAACTATCAGATAAAAACGAGCATCTTTGCATATTATTGAGCATATGACGAGCATAGTACTTAGTATATTTTTGTTTGCTTATAATTTTTATGTAGCTTGATGAGTCGGCTACCAGCACCGCAGCACTTACATTATTTTCAAACAGATCAGGTGGGGACCCAGCCTGGGTAGTACATTGAGTTTAATATCTGATATCACTTCGAGGTATGTATGTGAGTTGCCAAGGGTGGAGGCCAGTTGCCTTAATTGCCCATCCGAGGCCTAGCAGTTTATCCGCTTAGGGTCGAGGCCCAGAAGTCCTCCCCTAGGTTCCGGTGGAGGCCAGTTGCCTTAATTGCCCATCGGAGTGTGCACACGGTCCAACCCAGTTGTCCGAAAAGTTCAATTCAGTTACCGGCCCAGTTGTCCGGGAGACTTGAGTACTCATATATACCTGTTCTGTGATATCGTTATTAATATTGTTGTTTACTTTAGTATGGGTTTTTATGGAGTACAAGAGGATCAGTATTCACCCCCACTTTATTTTTCAGATGACAGAGTCGGCGGGCAGGCGTGAGTCCAGCAATGGTGGTTGTGGTCGTGGCTTCGGCACAGCTAGCGATTCGTGGACATTTGATTATCTACGTCTATATAATTAAATCATTTCCACGCATTTTATGATTTCCGTGACGTTACTTTTGGTTCGAACTTGCATGATGATATTTTCCAAAACTTAAACGTTTTACTCTGTTCGCCAGCATCGAACGGGTCCAGCTAAACTTGCAGGTTACGACAAAAGATTTAAAATCTGATTTTCTAAAAAGTCTAAACCAGTCATTAGACTCAGATTGAAAAGGGAAACGGACTCTTAACAAGTAAGTTTTTAGCGGCAACCCGAACAGTTTGCAAAGAATTTCGAAATCGTATAAGTATTTTCGAAAAAGAAATTGCGAAAAATTGGCCCTAAATAGCGAGTTGTTGCAATTGGTATCAGAGCACCTTTTGTGTTTCTGAATACTTAAGAGACAGGAAATTTCAGAAAAACCCGACCACACCACACTCACGTCGCGCCGACCACCAGGTAAGTGCTGCCAAAATTTTTCAAAGTTTGTATAAGCAAACTGTACTAAGTCTATGCTCAATAGGATTCAGATAATCCGAACTCTAGATGCTCTAAGATCAGTAAGATGGACTCCTAGCAGTCTTAAGTATACCAGTATTCAGAATTCTAGTCAGAACTCTAGTTCGAACCCTAGTTTGAACTCTAGCTTTTCGAGTTAGCAACTCGTCAAGAAATTTGTTCCTTTTCCAGTAATCAGCGCATCCTTTCAGCCTTATTCAATTCCACCCCTATTTCTGACCCAACCGCGGCTTATTTATCAGATGGCTCGCCGTGGATGTCAGGCTCAGCGGGAATTATCTCAGGCAGAGGTAGTCGCCCAGTTCCGCGGCTACACCCCCGACAAGTTTACGGGGCAAGGGGATCCATGCCTAGTTGATGAGTGGATCCAAGGT